CTGTGCGAGCGCACCCGGGCCCAGCCGCATCGCCGACTACCTGCTGCTGCCCCTAGCCGAGCGCGAGCATGTGTCCCGGGCGCTGTGCATCCACACCGGCCGCGAGCTGCGCTGCAAGGTAAGCATCCCGGGGGCCAGGGCTGCGGGCCTGGCACGAGGGCTGGGCCACCCCGGATCGCGCCCCGGCCGGAGCTTTGGGGTTGGCAGAGCCGCTAAGGAAGGGCTTTGAAAAGTCGGATCAAGAGGGCGTTTTGGTCAGCTTCGCCCCTGAGAGCTTTCCTGTGGAGTGTTCTGCTGAGGGACCCGCGGTCTAGGGCAAGTGGAGGGGTTCATCTCGGTGCTTTTTTTTCTTTGGCGCTCAAGTGTGGCTAGCGCGTGGCGTCCCATTTAAGTTTGGAATTGCAATGGATTCCAGGGCCATGCCATTGCCCTGCTCCCCCCCTCCTCCCCCTGCCCTGGACGGACGCCCTGCAGTGGGTGCCTCCTCCCGGCTTGGAGCAGCTGGCAGGCTCTCAGCCGGACGTTCGCGGCACAGGCTCTGCAGACACGGTGTCCGGCTTCTACCCAGGGGGTTCTGGCTGGAACCAGAATACAGCCCACCCCAGGGAGTCGCGGGCCTGCGGGGGTTTAAGCCTGGGAGGGGCTCCAGGCCTGATTGAGAAGAGTGTTGAGGAGCTCCCAGGGGCTCTCGCTTCCACTCGCTGTAGTTTGCGTCCGCCAGTTTTTATTGCAACCTTAGGGGGAGTACAACTCCATAGGGGATGGCCCGGCTCTCCTGGAGAGCGCGGAGCCGTGGACGGTCTGTGCTTGGTGAGCGCGACGCTCACACCCTGGTCCACCGAGAGCCCCCACCGACTGCTTTCATTCCCCTGGAGTTAAGAGTGGCTCCTGGGTTTTCAGCAGCTCACCTGAACTCCCCTCTCCCCGCTTGCTGGTGCCACCTACTGTCTACTCGCGTGAAATCTCAGATGCGTGGTCAAGCCCAGAGGGGGGAAAAAAACCTTTTTTTCTTGGTGGATGAGAGCAGTTTTGGAAGAGAAACTTGTGTGGAGGGGTGGGTGGGGCGGGAGGAGAGAGCAGCAGAGGGATTCCCCCCCCCCAGTTGGTACCAGAGCAGCCACCTCAGAGGTGGGGTGGGTCTGGGTCATTGTGCAACCCCTTCCAGTTCCTCCGAGCAGATAATAGCTGAATCCAGATGGTGACAGCCCGTGTGTCACCATTTCCAGTTGCGTCTAGGATATGAGTAACCGGAGTGAACAAAAGGCCCTTAAAGAGACCAGCCAGCAGCTTCTTAGAGGATTTGCCCTCCGTTCTGGGGGTGGGGCAACTAAGGTGGGGGGAGGCGTGTAAACAGATGAAAACGGCTTTTCTGAGGTGCCCATCCCCTCCTGTCGGAAGGTACACCCCAGGCTGCCTCCACCTGAGTCACAGCCATAGGAAGGTTGCTTAAGGCAGCCTTGTCAGTCTCTCCCTCCAAGTCATCAGTCCCTCTGACTAATGACATCTCTACATGTTTGCTGCCTCTGCTTCCCCTTGGAGGCAGCGAAATCACCACATTCCTTGGCTGTGCTGAGCTGAGCCTTCTGTGTTTCATTGTTGCTTTTCACCCTTGCAGGGATGCTGGGGTCCCTTCCCTTAGCTACCTTGTAGCAAGCCTTATCTATTAGGAAGATCCAATCCACGTCAGGCTCGGCTCCCAGGAGCTGATACCAGGCCCCTAAAAGACAAAAGTATGTGTGGACCAGGGTAGGCTTTGGAAGTTGCTAGCCGGGATCCCAAGGTGTGACTTGCTTTAAGGGCATCATAGCAGCTGGAGCTGCATAAACGGCAGAGAGAATGGACTATCCAAAGGTTGAGGACCTCAGCCCAGCTTCATGTAGGACCTGGCGGGCAGCCCCTGAACTTCTGGCCCCTAAACAGGTCACTTTATCTCCGCAGGTGTTTCCCATTAAACACTACCAGGACAAAATCAGGCCTTACATCCAGCTGCCGTCGCACAGAAACATTACCGGCATCGTGGAAGTAATTCTTGGGGAGACCAAGGCCTACGTCTTCTTCGAGAAGGACTTTGGGGACATGCACTCCTATGTGCGAAGCCGGAAAAGGCTTCGGGAAGAGGAGGCCGCTCGGCTCTTCAAGCAGATAGTCTCCGCCGTTGCCCACTGCCACCAGTCGGCCATCGTGCTGGGGGACCTGAAGCTTAGGAAGTTTGTCTTCTCCACGGAGGAGAGGTGAGCAGCTGCCACAGCACCTCCTGTGGCCCTTTGGAACCAAAAAAACTGAAGGTACAGGTCATGCAGTTAGGTGCAAGCCAAACCCAAGGCTCAGGTCTTCCCTGGTTTAGTATTAAGTCATGCTTCTGGAAGTTTGTGGTCAACCTTGGTTCATTCTTTGCCCTGTTGGATGGCGAAGCCTAGAGACACCTTGGTGCTTTTGAGGATGCTGCCTAATGACAGATACACTTCTATTTCTGTCCCAGGCTCAGGCTTTCTTGTCAGGGAGGTCAGTCCAACGGGGAAAAGGTGTTCACCTGTCCTGGAAAGCACAGACTCCAAGAGGTGGTCAAATCCTGGCTTCCATCAGTGCCTGGGCTGTGCCTAGAAGACATGACAGAGCTGGTTAGGCTGTTGTGTTTGCAGAATTCCAGCCAGCCCTACCACACTGCATTCCTGCACTGTTTTAACCTTGGTACCCTCACCCCACACCCCGAAATGGTTTGCTCACATTTTCTGGTGAGATTTTAGCCATCTCATCGGCTCCATCTTCAGAAAATACCCACATTGAAGAATAAATGGAAGTTGGCTAGCACGCACCGCTAAATATAATTCTTGGCTTACCTCATAAAGGACAAGGTGTGCTTGATAAGGGACTGAGGAGACACTAAGATTTGAAGTGGAGGTTTCACCAGGAGAACTCAGGAAGCTGTGTGAGATGCCCCACACTTCATCCTGAACACAGACCATATCTGTGGTGGGGAGAGGTAGAGTGTGGAACTGGCCTTGTTCGAGTGAGTGACTTTGTTGAATATAGTTACACAGGAGTACCCTACCTGGTCACTTTTACCTTTAACTGGGCGGGGGTGGGGGGGTGGGGGGTGTGCGAGGGTCTAGAAAGTACAGGGTTGAAGCCCTCAAAGTATGAGTTCGCGTCTGACCTTGCGCTAGCTATTGAAACATACTGATTAGCAAAGAGGAGCAAACTGTTTGCTGCGAAGAGGCGTCCAGTTCCTGGAATGTGCTTCTTTGATAATATGCTGATGCCTCTTTTTGAAACATGTGCTACACACCTCCTCGCTGGTTTTTGAAATCTGCATTGCACAGGCCGGTGTCATGGGCATAGGGTTTGGTAACCCGAGGGTTAAGCAACGGCAGGCTGACGCTATTCATGTAACCAGCACAGGTGCAGGGTTTTAGTCCTACAGGAGCCAATCAGGGGCAGACAGTGTGGGTTGAGTCATATTTTCCGTTTACAGAACCGATGGGTATTTTACATAACAGGGAGGTCACGCTGAGGACACACCGAAGTCAGTACATGTGTGCTTCACTCCAGGGAGCAGGAAGGCTGGAAAAGAGAAAAAAAAATAGAGAGAGAGAGAGAGAGAGAAAGAAACCAGACCTTTGAGAGGAAAAGGAATTGACCAAATGTTTGCACGTAACTACACAAGAAGTGACTTACTGAAATAGGTCTGTTTCGGAGAAGCAGGCACCGGAAATTAGAGGTGCCCCACGTGGCCGTGGGGGTTCTAGGAGATGTGGGTGGCTGCTTCTACCTAGGGAGGGAGGCACCTGCAGCTTCGTAAGCGTTCCTTTGGCCAAAGGTCTTCTAGATTATTCTTTCCAGTTCAGTCTTGGTTTCTGTGCTTTCCTTCGCATTCTCCACTGACTTCTTCAACAGAGGTTCTCCACAAGACAGAGGCTCGTGTAGGATCCGCCTCAGTCCCTGTGTAGGGTCCCTGCAACCCTCAAATCCATCAGCCTCTTGTTTCTTCACCTAGTTTCTCTAGGTTTCAGCTAAGTGTTCTTACAGTGAGACAGCCCAATAATCGCAATTGAACAACTTTCCCATTGTGGTTATTGCAGCTGGGACTCGGGTGAACGGAATTTCCTTAGTGTGGTCAGTGGTGTCAACTAGCCTGGGCAGTGTCTTGCTAAGAGACCAGTGTAGTGGCCTGTAGGAGATACAGGCCCTACCTGAGGAAGGAGGACACCTATGTTTGCTTCTCCCCTGACAGCTTTTGTAGAACATGCCAGTCTTGCTCTGAAACCAGCTCTCCATTCTGCAATGTGAACTTTGTCAATTGTGTAACCCTATTAGGATATCTCTTACAAGCCCTAGCTTCGTGAATGTTGTTTGAGACTTTGCATCATACCCCTCCGCCCCGGGCCTCTCAATACTTTGCAAATATTTATTGCAGTTTGTATTGGTTTGTGAAATCGCTGGTCTTGGGTGCTTGCAGGCCAGCGCTTACTAGACGAAGGGTAAATGGTATTCCTGCAGCCTTGGCTGTGAGTGCCTCTGGGCGCTGTTATTGGGAAGGCCTTGGTTTTCCATTGCAGACGGTCTGAAAATAATCACTCCGTTTATTTCTCTCTCCCACAGAACCCAGCTTAGGCTGGAAAGCCTGGAAGATACACACATCATCAAGGGAGAAGATGACGCCCTCTCAGACAAGCATGGCTGCCCGGCCTATGTGAGCCCTGAGATCCTCAACACTACTGGGACCTACTCAGGGAAGGCTGCGGATGTCTGGAGCCTCGGGGTGATGCTCTATACGCTTTTGGTTGGACGATACCCCTTTCATGACTCAGACCCGAGTGCCCTTTTCTCCAAAATCCGCCGTGGACAGTTCTGCATCCCTGAGCACGTTTCTCCCAAAGCCAGGTGCCTCATCCGCAGCCTCCTGAGACGAGAACCTTCGGAGAGACTCACAGCTCCCGAGATCTTGCTCCACCCCTGGTTTGAGTATGTCTTGGAACCAGGGTACATTGACTCAGAAATGGGAACTTTGGACCAGATTGTTCCCGAATACCAAGAGGAAAATGACATTAGTTCCTTCTTGTGCTGATCCCAAAAACAACCTCAGAAACCTCGTAATTCTCACACATGGTATTTCCATTTCTGATGATGGGCAGGCCCTCTTACACGGTGCCAGCCAGATTTGGGGACGGAGCACTATTGTCCCTATGGGGCTCAGTGTGGTGCCACCTCTCTAGGCTGAGTGACTTGATTTGAGCAGCACACACTCAGATTAGCTCCTCGCCAGGGGTGTCCCCTTCTCGATGAACCGTCATGACTGTCCCAGCGTCTATCCAATACAAGGGCGCCACGTGTTTGGAAGTGGAAGCCTGTGGCCATCCCACATGGTCAGGTGTAATGAACTTGAACATTGGAATGGGAAAGGAAGCACATCGCACAGAGGCATTTTATTTAGCAAGGTGGCAAATCGGTTGAGGTGACAAACCTGCCGTCTTTGAAGGCTCCACTTGGCTGCTGCGGTTTCTCCGACCAGAAGTTTTTCTTTTTTTTAACTCTCACCCTTGCTGTGCGCTCACCTGTGACGGCTACAGTGTTGGGTGTTGGGACAGATTGAGAAGCTCCCGAGCCTGCCTGAACCCAGACTGTCCCCCAGAACTTGCCAAGACCTCCTATGCAATAGCGCCACGCCCCTCCCCCCTCCCTGGAACCTGTCCTCTGCAGCTATGAAAGCACCCGCCGGCTAATCATGGAAAAATACTGGGAGATGCAAACTCCTGGTTCAGAACCTTTGAGCTCGGTCAGACAGCGATTTTTTTTTTT